CAGTGACTCACGCTTTTATTCAACCGTTGATTGACGGATGACTCCTCAATCACTCCTAACTTTCCCCAAACCACAAGTGAGACACTGTGGCAGGGAATGGATTTGCTCACTTGTATTGTTTTGGGCGGTGTGTCCGGCTAACAGAACAACACACACAGCTGACCGCATTGCTGTTGCTCAGCCACCGTGAGATAGTTATGACTTGAAGCTTAGATATACGTGTCAAGATGCAGTGAGACGGAGCGGAGACATCTATCTGCAAAGAACACTTATCTGTTGAGTAGAAAACATGTGAGCAAACATGTGAGATACAGTTTCATTCAATCACACATTACAGCAGCGGTCTGTGCACACACACCTGGCAGAAGTCTTTGATCGGCTCCTTCTGTACATCATATCCCAAAACTGTGACCGAGACACATGACCCCACGTGGCTTGTCATGTTTCCTGTATGTACCTGTATGTACACCATTACAGACAGTCTTTTTCCTAGGTTTAAGTTGTTCTGCACTGCACTTCACAGTTCCAGATGTTATTGCTGGGAAGCTGACACAGATAGAGAATAGTTCTCCTCAAGCCACTTGCATGTGTATTCTATCAAAAAGTGAAATCAAACTTTCAGCGAGCAATGCTACACTGGATGGCACCACATGGTTGGGATTCATGAAACCGAAATCTCAGAGAGCTCAGATCAGGATGCATGGCTTTGATAAAAAAAAGGATTATGGGTTGGAGCTATGAGAGTTGAAGGAAGGAATATGTATTGAGAAGACAGCATGCCAAATGTGAAAAAGAACATGTGAAAAAGATTGCATAATGTCATGCACATTTTAATCTGTGCGCCTCTCATGAATAAAGTCTGGTGGTTACTTAAAACATCACAGTTGTTTTTGATAATTCCACACACAAGTTATAGTGTATATACCTCAAACATGTCACCCAAAAGAACAATATGTCCAACTTATGGGACAGATGAGCTGTACAACTCTTTCTTTCAGCTTCCCTGCACAGATCTGCAGAGTGTCTACTAGAGGTGACATTGGTGCAAATGAATGCCTGTGTGTCAGAATCAAGTTCAGACTTGACCGGCCATGATACACGTTTGCATACGTTCATTGATCTAGTTTTTTACCCAAGTTGTCCATATGGTAATTTTACACACAACTTCTCCTCCTTGCCCGTTTGTCCAAGAAGAGGGATTCCCCTCTGTTGCTCGAGCTCAAGTCTCTTGAGTGTGTGTGTGTGTGTGTGTGTGTGTGTGTGTGTGTGTGTGTGTCGCAGTATGGGAGGGAGGGAGAGAGGGAGAGGAGGATTCCTTATCTGAATCGTGGATCTAAGGATAGAGGGTGTTGCATGCTCTCCTGATTGTAAGGCCCCATGAGGAAAATTTGTGGTTTGTGATAATAGGCTAAATAAATACAACTGCCTGATGATTGATGGAACGAGAGTCAGATTAGAGTTTGGCGCTGAACAACGCACACTGAGCTAACAGTGCACAGCAGCAAATCTGATAATGGCTTCCATTTTGGCTTAATTAGGTTCTTTCAAAACCTGACGGGGCGCCTTGTCGTTTCCTTTGGGTGCTTCACGCAGCACTTGTTTTCTTGTGGTGTCCCAAATGTTTTCTTATCTTACTTATTTTCCTACTATTGGACTCAGGTGGGGAGATGGCAGACTTGGATATTAGCTAACAGCTTGTGGTCTGCGCGTTGGGGGTTTTTTGTTCTGATGCCAGAGGTTTGAAGTCAGCCACCTGCTAGCACTAATTGCCTGGTCTTATTCAGCAAAGAGGCCCTTCACTCCCGCCCGGATGAGGAGGAAAAACTGGGAATGGAATGCAAATTGTTATAAGCCAGTGGTAAATGTCTGAGGGATGAATGGAGGGAGGATCCCAGGTCAACACATTCAGAGTACTTTAATAAGCAGGATAGGTCAAGAGTTCAACCCTCCCCCTGCGGTGTTTGTGTTTATGAGGGATGAGAGAGAGAAAGTGAAACCAATTTAGGCCAGTATCACTAATGTCATGCTAACACAATGACACAACTATCCCTTCAAAGGCACCTTGAAAGAACACGTCTGCTGATCCATTGTTTTTCTCCTCTTCCTCAATAAAATTCCACAAAAAGAGCACAAACAATGAGCTACATGCTAACAAGGTAATAGCTGATTAGCTGATTACAGGCAGGTATACTTTTGTCCGTGTTTACCATCTTTAGTCAGCATGCTAACGTGGTAATATTCGCTGATAACCTCTAAACAAATGATATTTGTACATACACCCCAAAGTTCTGGAATAATCAAAATTCTGACCTGACGACGGCACTAAATTATACGATCCTCAGCCATTCTAGGGATACATTATATGTTTTGTCCCGGGATGGACACAGCAATGGGATTTTGAGTTGCTGCCATACACAGCGGCAATTCTGCCTTTTCACTCATTCAAGAAGGAAGAGAAGCACTGTAGAAAGAGTTATACAACAATACTGTTAACTAGAAAAGGCATTTCCTGCTGAAAATGCGTTGGAATGCAAAAAGCTGAAAGCTGCACTGAATATTTAAAAATAGCTGAAAATACAGAAAGTTGAAGGGAATTTGAATACATTTGCTGAAAAGCTGAAATGAATTTGAAATTGCTGAAAATACAGAAATGGGAGAAGCTGAAAGGAATTTCAATAGATTTGCTGAAAAAGCAGAAATGAAAACAGCTGAAATAAATTTGAAATATTGCAAAAAAATACAGAAATGAATATTAAAACATTGCTGTTGATAGAGGCATAAGAATAGCTGAAATTATTTTAAAGAACTGCTGAAAATACAGAAAGTGGGGAAGCTGAATTTCAATAGATTTTCTAAAAACAGAAGTTGCAGGAGCTTAAATTTGTTTAAAATTGTTTGTAGTAATATTAGTAGTAGTATTAGTTATAATTGTGGTATTAGTAGTACTAGCAGTATAAGCAGTAATAGTAGGTTTAGTATCAATAGCAGTAGAAACAGCTGTAATACTATTAGCCATAGTAGTATTTGTAATAACATTAGTAGTAGTTGTAGTATTAATAGCAGTAGAAATACTAGTAGTATGGTAGTAGAAGTATCAGTTGTAGTACTAGAAGTACGAGTAATATTCGTAGTGGGAGACAGAATGTTTGTTATTCAAACTAAGAAGTTTTTAATTAATAGGCCTCATCACAAACATTACAGTAAAAATTCCCTCCATGTGGCTTTTATTTTGAAATTATTGGATTGGGTGGGTTGGGGGGGTGTAGATAGAGGGAGGGAGGGTGAGAGGGTGAGGAAGGGAGGGGTGGTGAGGAAGAGATAGAGGGAGAGAGAGAGGAGGAGAAATAGACAGACATACTGACTGACTGAGTGATTAACAGTGAGAAGAGGTCAGGGTGGAGGGGGGAGGGGGGGCGAGTGTCTTTATCATATTGGTCTGTTGACAGAAAGCATAGCTGCGTCATGTGACTCCACTAATCACGTCATTGGAGCAGCTGTGAGTCACACACAGAGATACTGCAGGGTGTTTACGAGTAACCACGGCAACGGCGCACCTATTGGATTGGGTGGGGTGGGGGCGTGTCAATAGAGGAGGCAGGCTGACAGGCTCACGAAAGGCAGGGTTGATGCGAACACATAGAGGAGGGAGGAGGGGGAGCAAATCTACACAGGCCTGCCCTGACTGAGAGTGATTAACAGTGAGAAGAGGTTCAGGGGTGGAGGGGGGGAGGGGGGGGCGAGTGTCTTTTATCATATTGGTCTGTTGACAGAAAGCATAGCTGCGTCATGTGACTCCACTAATCAGGTCATAGGAGCGAGCAGCTGTGAGCCACAGACAGATCTTGCAGCATGTGAGTGCTCGTAACCACGACAACGGTGCACCTGTGATCATTAACGATCTGCTGCAAAAGACAGAGACATGGCAGCAAGTTACACAGAATCCACACCTCACACAAATGAGAACCAGCGCAAAACTATAACAGCTATCTAAAAAATACGGCGTTTGTATGAGACCCAAGACTCTACCGAACGCGTGGATGTGCTTTTTATGTCTGTCCGGTAATAAATACGGCTCCTATGGCCGTTTACAAAACGTGTACCTTGTGGATTTTTGTGAGAAATATGTCGGCAGATTTGTATTGGAGCCTATGGGGCTTTTGGCAGAGGTTGTGTCACTCAAACACTCCTTGCGCCAAAACTAAAAAACTCTGGGATTCCATGAACACATTAATCCAATCAGCACAACCATACCCTCATTAATCTGAAGAAATGAAGCCTCTAGAGTGTATACTTTGGCTGCAAGGACAGAAGTTCCATACTTTTTTAACCAGATTTCTGCGCTGCTTCACACTCTAGCCTGCGAGGTCCCCCTCTAGCAGACGCAATACACACTCATGTAAAAGTCAGAAACGGAGCGAAAAACTAGTGAAACATAATCAGTGATTATGAAAAAAGTACAATAGATATCAAGAAGCAGTTTTTTTCATAAAATAGATGAGACTTGTGTGAACATTTGAGAGTTGAAATGGTGTCTGTAGCTGAAAGATTCGCGAAGCTGAAAAATCTGAAAGTTGAAGAAGTTTAGGAGGATTTGAAAGCAAACTCCATTTGAAAACCATGTTAAAATATTAATGATTATTGATTTATATAAATTCAAGCATAAGAGGTAGAAAGCTGAAAAGTCATAGCCCTCAAGCCAGAAAGGAGCTGAACATTTTAATATTTGAACGGTTTTAATAGCTGAAAGTGTGAAGGAGTTGAAAGGTGCCGCGGAAGAAATAGAAGGAGAGGATGAAGATGAAGAATAAAGATTCGAAGAACAATACTTGGAATGCATCTCAATGCATTCCAACAATAACAGTATGCAACAGGCTGCGGTTTAACCAGCTGTAAAACAGGATAAACTGTTAAAGCGTAACTAATACATTTGTCTTTTTTTTAAAAATCCTTAATTTTTTCTTACGTTGCAATTTAGAACCAAATTGCCTGTCTGTTCATACCTGCGCAATGTTCTTGTTGAGCAAGTAGACACCGTATTCAAAATGAAAGCGCTCTCCTCTTGGGTACAAAGGGAATCTGTTGAAGACAGGAGAAAAAGAAAAGCATGGTGTTACACGGCTGATATATTACACGCGATCCATTACCAACAGAGTCGAGCAGCAAAAGGTATCAAGACACAGTCAAGCTGCCAACAGCATTGAATCCATACTGTCTATTATATTGTAGGTCCATGCATGGGAATGGGTCAATAAAGGATGCTGGGATTGAAACGGTCTTGTTTGCTTATTATTAGTTGTACTGAGATATTCAAACTGCAGCTCTTTGGACCTTCGCAACAGGCATTATTATTATTATTATTATTTCTTTCCCATTATTGAAAGTGCCCTTGTAGTCAGCAGCGCTTATACTTAGTGACACTTGCAGAACGTCGATGGAACTGGGTGCGGCCGCCATCACGCACACACGCCACCTCTGTACCACGTTAAACTGTAATATCAAACTGGAGTTGAGAAGGCGGAGCGGCCGTCCATCGGTCTCTGAGCAAGAACAAAGCAGAACTTTTCTTTCAGAAGGCAGGTAAAACCCCCTCGGTGGCAGGCAAGTGTCACTAAGGATGGGGAAGGTGGGTATTTTCCTCATCCTTCGTGTTGGGTGCCGAGTAGAGAGGCGAATATGCTGACATGTGGAGAGGGAAAACTCTTTGCTATCAGGGGCTCGGGGCAGGAGTTATCCCTTCCTGTCATTATGTGGTTATGTCTGCTCGACTCCCACGGAGGAGGATACTGAATTTTGTGGAAACAAGCTTCATGAACTGAGATGGGCATCCAATGCCAAACACACCAGTTTGCATCAAAATACTTACCGTGACCTTCTTCACAAAACATATCGTTTATTCATCTTTTGTAGATGTTCTCTTAATTCACTAAGAATTTGTAATAAATAATGCTACATTGCAGCATTTGAGAAAACAAATAGAAACAATAGTCTCAATGCAAGTATTCAACCTGCAAAGTGTCATGGAGATGAGGACATTAATTCCAGCTTTACTCTCTTAACCTGTGGTGTCTCCCTGTCCGTCTATAAACAGTCTTTCATCTGCTCCAGGAGCTATAAAATAGTGAGACTCCGATTGGCTCCTTTATCATGAAGACATTATGGCTTTGAGCAAAACTCAAGGGGGTCAGTGCCCTTAAACTGGAGTCTCAAAGCAAATTCTAAAATGTGACATGCATAAGATTTTTTTTAAAGCAATATAGTTCCCAGCAAATAAGTGTGACCAATTTACAAGATATAAGCCTCTGTCATTTTGTGACAGCGCTACCAGAAGCAGCAGATGTTCTCTGATGTACGTCTTCTGTAGAGTATGTGCAGACGTGCGTGTGTGTGTGTGTGCGCGTGTGTGTGTGTGTGTGTGTGTGTGTATCCGGCATGCCTTCTCTCTGTGTGTGCCCCCCAGGGACAGAGTCATGGTCTTTGGATAATCCTTTGTGAGCGCAGATTCCCTTTAACTACGCTGTGACCTGTAAGTGCTTGAGGTGTTCGAAAAATACAGCAGAAAATACACGTACTCAGCGCTGCACTCTTCTGTCAACTGTGATCACGCTAACAGGCAAGCAAAACAGTAGGATCCATGTATTGATTCAAGAGTGACCGTGACAATTCCAAGGCCATGTTTTTAAATCAGATCTCAATGCTCCAGAATCTTCAATAAGGCGCATGTTTCTGCATCTCTGCATTGGACTTTGGGAACGTGTATTTTGTTGAATGGGATGGTAGTTTGTCTCCTGCTCGTATATGAACAGACAGCCTTCTGAGCTTGTGCTCACTGTAACACCTCCTCTCCCACACATTACACTGGCAAGTAAACGCTGAACAGATGGAGGTCTTTTTAGCTCTTGAATGAATTTCTAACAGGATGCCGCTTCCAGTGAGGCGCTGTCGCCTTGGGGTCCACGCTACCAGACACTTTTTGGCCATCCACATCTCGGGCTCCGGGTCGGGGACCCCACGGAGCAAGCGACGTGCTGCAGGCCGTTTCAAGTACAAGTAACTAACAGAGAGCGGAAGAACAACAAAACCGGCATTCCCAGTATGGCTTGCCCACGAGCAGATAGGACTTGTTTGCTGAACACTCACGAAAAGGAAAACAGAGCCAAGTCCAACATACACAGACACACTCGCACACACAGTCACGGTGGAGTGATTAATGGGCGCTGTCCGCTGTGTCTGAAATCACACTGGAGAGCCTCCGGTTCACCAAACACCAGGAATTCCTCCCGGGGACGTCCAGTTAAGTCAAATATATTATTACACACACCGGTAGGTGGGGAGGGGGAGGGCTGAGGATGTAGAGATGGAGGAGGCGGCAAAGCATTGTATGATTAGTTAGCCGGGACATTTTATTATTTTATATAGTATCTAATCTGACGGGAAAAATAAATAAAACACCCAAAAGAAAGCGTCCAAATAACCGTAAAAGATGTGTCAAACATACAACGCATAAAGCCCGGGTGCAAAGTTGCAACTAATAAACATTGCACTCAAACAGAGAAAAAAAAAAAAACTGTTTTTTCTCCAGTGAGCTGTGACCGGCCGTACCAATGGATCCGTCACGGCTATTATTTCTGCTGCTACAGTAGAGCAATTTTGAATCTCTCAGCCATCAGCAGCAGCATAGTGAAGCGGTGCTGCACACTAAACAGGACGAAACACAGGTCCCGGAGGAGTACGAGGGCCTAAATTAGAACTCTCCCATCAGGGCGGAAGGTCCAGTACAAACCGATACAAACCAGAGTGTCTCACATGGCACTAGGTTTTTCTGCTCATGCTTGCTTTCGCCGCTTGCAACTTGTTGTGTTGCTTCTTTTCTTTGGTTTATTTCTGTTGTACGTATAAATCAAAAGCAATCAACTATCACAACAGCTCCTCCTAAGATTTCTTCACTTTGCCCCATCAGGCCTCCGTCAGCACATCCCTCCGCTGCTTCCCTCTATGGCAGTTCTGTTGAAGGGTTTTGTCCGTGGAATACGACAGGAGCCACAATCAACACACCCGCTCGCTTCAGCGTCCATTTAAAAAAACAAAAACAAATGACAGATTGCTGAAACATGAAATGTGCTTTCATTTATATTCAACACTGTGTGAGAAAAGAAGAAAAAAAAAGAAATGAGTTGAGAACAGAAGTAAAACTGCTGAACAGTGAGAACAATCTCCCCAACGGGATGGCCGATGCGTGAGTGTCGGCTCGGAGTGCAGACACAATAAATATGTAATTATTAAGTGTGGAGACCTGAAATCATAAATAGAGAAACGCTGCGACACACAGGAAAGTCCCCGGTCTTTATGAGCAACAAAACGTGCGCCTCGGCCTGCCAGGGGTCCGTACACCGGCAGCTTTCAAGTATAAAAAGTAAGGTCTATAGTTAAAAGGGAGGAACCCACCAATAAACACACAGCTACAGAGATAATAGGAAGGGACTTTCCTTTTTCTTCCTGATGAGGGGTCTTTTGATAGCAGATCGACTCGCGGTAATCCACCACCAGCGCCTCCCTGATCCGCGCCTCCGATCAGGTGTCAGCAGCACGCAACACCTTTCCCTCCCCCCGGATAAAATGGACACTTTTGTGGGCTATCTGAGCAAAGAGAAGCAACTTTGGGTCAACGCAACCCGCAGACGCCAGTTACATGCGTGGCACGTACTTCTGGGTTGAAATCGACATGGCTGTCTGGAGTTTTACCATTTGGTGGGAGCTAAAATTGTAGAGACCAGTCTCTTAGAGAAGGTCACCAGGTAGGCAGGGGAGGGGGGGCTCTTGTGAAATCTATGGGGAGCAAGTACATTTTAGGCATGTTAAAGTATATTGGATGAGCCTCTTGTGATTGCTGCATTAAACGTAGAAAGGAGGACGCAGCTATGCAGGTGGGTGGTCGTGACTCACTTTGCCGTGGTTCACGAGGAGAGCGCTGGGAGGACTGACCTGTCGTAATGTACACAAAGGCTGAGGTCGCCACATGTGTCGGCTTGCCTGTTTAGACATCCCAATTAATACTCCAAATGTTCAAAACAACAGTTCTGGCTCACGTGTCACAGACAAGGCTTTGCCAGTATGTACAGCCTCCGTTTTAATGGTCTGTGTGTGTGTGTTTGCAATGTCTTCAATGTGCAATTTCAAACGGCACGGGACCATAAATCATCTGGGACTGCTTAAAAAAAAAAAAAAAAAAAAAAACACACACACAGACACACACACACCTGCCTTGCAACTGTCAAAGCTCTAATGGCAGCGGTTACTATATAAATCACAGTGAGCTGTAATTCTCAATATCTGAGAAATGATTAGACTGAGCATCTGTCGGTGAGTGCGGTTTTAATGACCGCGGCTGCACTTTAGGACCACGCTGGAACCGCTCCGCCATCTTCGCCCGGGCTATTAAAGGTCTCCTGAGTGATGTGGCGGTTGCTTGCTCTGTCATACTGGGTTTTCAACATAGCTCTTAAGAATATCCAGGGGTCTGCTGACCCCGGGGCTCCCATTTTATTTACAGTTTGTCTTTGTACATTGTTTTAAATTGCAAGCAGAGAAGGAGGAGAGGAGCTCCATCTGACCAGCAGCCAGACAGAACGTAGGACCCTCTCGCTCCAAAAACTTAGCGGACCATCACTTTATCCCAAACGAAGCCTTTAAAAATACATGACATGGTCAACACAAGTTTTCATGTTCATAGCTGCACTAATTAAGAGTCTACAATCGTGCAAGCTCCAATGTGGGAGCGTGCTGCAGCACAATGTGAACTTACCAACATAGGCACACATAGGCATGCGGGTAACAATGCTAGCAAGGCCGAGTGGTTAAAACACCTATTTAGGATTATTTTTTACTTATGTTTTTAGAGTCAATGATATATTTTTACATAATTCTAGAAATAATAGATCATCCTTAACACGATTAACTTTTACAATTAACCGGTGGCTGTACATTCAACTTAAAGACATGTGGATGAGAGGTCAAGGGTCAGCAAAGTCGACAGGGGTTTATGATCAGAGTACTATGTATGGCTGTGAAAACATCGTATT